AAAGCAAATGCGAAGGAAAAGGTACGCACCCGGGTGCGCAACACCCGGGTACCTTCGTCGGCCACACCGCCCGAATTGGACGACAACGGTACTAAGCAGAAGAAAACTACATGGCCCAACACTTAGAGAAATCTCCAAAGTATTGAATAACGAGGGGACAGCCTCAAGACGAAGCTGGTACTCAAACACTGGCAGGTGCCCGTCTCGGCCCCAGCAACGGCCGGTAGATATCTATGTCCTGGTTTGACACTTAGACAAATTTCAAATTTGGAATAACGAATGCAACAAACCAAATCATTTAAAGCCGAAGGGGACAAAAGCACTATCCATTCAATGAAAAGGTCAAGTCCCATAAAGGAGCGCTTCGGCCATCACACTCAGACGGCAGAGGACATGTACCCTTACCGGCTATGGCTACAGAAATCAGAATTGACTTCCTGTTCAAACACGAAGCCATGGCCGAAGGACGAGATCACCAAGTGTGGCATTGAGTTCAACACTTAGAAAATTTTCCAAAGTCTCGGGCAAAAGAAAAAGGGGGCGTGGTGCCAAAACGATGCAGACACCCACTCACTTGAAGCCTTGATACTTATAAAATTACCTAAGTCCCAATTCCAAACACTTAGACAAATTTTAAAAAACTTGAGAACAAAAGTAAAGGGAGAACAAGACGACGAGAAGACAGAATAAGGCTGGAAACATATTTCATTCATGAAGTCATTACATGGGAGGGCGCTTCGGCCATTACATTCAGACGGTAAACAAAAAACTACTAATTACAAAGCAAAATCAGTTATGGACGATCAGGCCTCCTGAGCGCCCTCATCGGCAGCATGACCCGCAACGTCCTGGTCAACGACGAACTCGGCACCATCCTCGGCCTCAGCATCTAAGCCGGCCTCTACAGCGGAAGTGGCGGTGTCGGCCAAGACATCATCTTCACCATAGTCTGGTTCGCCGAGGCCAGAACTATCTATCGGAGCCTGCCTGTCACAAAGGGCAAGTTTAATCTGCTCCTCCGGATCCTTCATCAGCTTGGGAAGCTGTAGGTTCCGCTTGGCCCACCCCCGAGTATAGTTCAGGGCTTTGAAAGCACGACTCAGCCGCGGATAGAGGAGCCTTTGCATCTGATGCTGGCTCATGTTGTAATACACGGACATCTCGCGCTCAAAATACTCTTGGCCGGCAGGGGAGTTTTGCCCCCAGTCCTCGAGCTTGGCCGCCACGACCTCATAACACCAGGGCAGGTGCTCGTCGGCTTTCCAGCCTTCGGCCAAGAACTTCTCAACAACAGCATCAGCGGCCTTCACCGTTGCAACCTCGACTTCGGCTTTGGCTCTCTCGGCATCATCGGCCCGCCGACGATCAGCCTCACGAGCATCCCTCTCTTCGGCAAGTTTGGCCAGGGCCTCGTCCCTGGCCGCATCGGCCTCATTGGCCCTCTTCTGCAAGGCCGCAAAGTCCTCTCGCAGCCTCCCCAAGCAGCTCATGGCCTCATCGACCGAGGCTGCCTTCTGCTCAAATTCTCTCAAACGGGCAATCTCCTGTTGCTGCCTCTTGTTGCTCTCCATGAGCATGAAAGCACCCTGCAACACAAAACACTATCAGACAAGTTCGTAAAAACATCAAAGGAAAACGACAAAGCTAAGGACGAAAGGATTTACCTGGACGACAAGGTCCATTCCACTGTCGTATATCTTGACATCGCCGAGCTTGTCAAGATAAACCCGTTCCTTGGCCGGAATGGCCTGAGAGAGCATACTATGGCCGTCAACGTCATCGTTGAAGACACCACCGTCCTTGGGGTACTCAACCTCCATCTTATAAGTGGTCGTAGCCACCTCCTTGTCGGACCGCTTCGGTCGGGAATCCTGAGCGAGGGGGAGGGGTTGAGAAACATCCCCGGAGAGACCAGAGGTGAGATCCACGAGGGCAGCAGCAGCACCGGATCCCCCTTCGTCCAGAATCGGGACGGTCAGAGCGCCGACCTCATCGGCAACGGAGGAAGACGAAGCTTTCTTGGACTTCTTGACGGGTTGCATGCCGGCCTCAGTCAGCTTCTTATGGGAATCATCTGCCGGCCGCTTTTTCTTCGGTGGGGGGGTGGCTTCTTCGTCACATCACCACCTGCAGCTGCCTTCACCGCGGCCTCCTTGGCGGCCAGCTCCGCCTTCGCCTTCGCAACGGCCTTGTTCATCACTGGCCGACGATCCATTGCAAAGTCTACACAACAAAGAGAAACAAGTTAGCAAAGTAAAGGAACAAAACAAAACAAGGACGCCGTAGGAAGTATTACCATCAGCTTCGGCAGGGACGCCCAGATCGGGGCCGTCGGCCTCCTCGAAGGTAGTGGTCATCTTCGGCCACAGTTGGACGTCATCCTCCTTGTCACCATACACGAAGTATCTAAAGAAGCCGATAGCGGTCATCTTGTACTCCGTGATGTAATCCTTCACGCTCCTCGGCCCCCCCTCAAGGAACGCCTCCACCTGAGCATCTAGGATCGAACTCTTTGGCGGGTCATGAAGATTGAACCTCCCATCATGGCCGACGGAGGGGAATTCGGTGCCACCCTTGCCCAGGGACACGAAGATAAATTTGCTTTTCCAACCATGTATGGATGAAGGCAAGTCCGTGAAAGTCCTCTTCTTCGGCAGCTGCTGCAGAGTGGCGTAGCAGGCGCAATTCTTATGGCTCCCTCGGCCAATCTGATAAAGGTTCATGAATAGGGCCGTCGTCGGCCTGTAACCTAATTCAGCACAGCGGAGGAGGAACCCCACCATCATCGAGTAGCTGTTAGGGGTCAGCAAGACCGGAGGGAGCCCCACCATGTCCAAGTACTCCTTGATGAAGGGGTGAAGGGGAAACCTTAGCCCCTTAGCGAAGCTCATCGGATACACTCCGAAGTATCCCGACGGCGGATTGAGCACGTGGTCCGTTGGCCTAGGTGCCCTAACCCTCCCGAACGGCCCCACGTACATCTGTGCGACCAAATAATCAGCAGCGCTGCTCTCCGGCTTGATGAGGAAAATGTTGGTAAGGCCTAGGTAAGAGAAACCCGGGCCCTTCTTCGGCCGCCTGTTCCTCTTCGGCCACGATACCCCCTTCACAGCAGACACCGGCTTCGGGCACAGAATGGTAGTAGAGGCAGATGCCCCGTCCATTACGTGGGTGACCCCTGCGTCCTCACCCTCAGATGATGAGGTGGACCCTTCGTCCTCGTCCTCCTCGTCCACATTATCTCTAGACTTGTACGGGCTCAAGTGTTCAATCTCCTCGGCACACTCTTCGTTCACGTCGTAGTCAAGAGACTTGACGGAGGGCTCGTCGTCATACGGGTAGTACTTCTCGTTCAAGGTTTTCATCTTAACAACTGCTAAGGCACTAAGGGGATCTACTTTAGATCTAAGGTGTTTTTGTGACTAACACTGGATCAAAGCCTAGAGGGAGCAAAATATGTAAGAGATCGAAGAAAAGATTAAGGAACTAACCTTGAAGTTTTGAAGGAGGTGAAGAACACTCAGCAAAAGGCTTTATCTCTCTAGAATTTTGGGCACCACTTCGTTTGCTCAGGATGCAAATGAGGGCGTTCTTCGGAATGGGGAGGGTATTTATAGCCCCCCTCCCAACGGTAACTACACGTGGCATCACCCTAGTGGCCACACCAATGGCCACCAATGGGATGCCACCACTTGTTCAATGGGCCAAACCCCCTCTACAGATCAGCGGCCCACCAGCAAAGCAGGCTCTACGGAGCAAGGAAGGGAAAATAGCAACCACAACGGCCAATACAGCCAACGGCCACCCACATTGCACCCGTATCGGCCATTTAAGCGGCCATGCATATTATGCAAAGGAAGGCTTTACAATGGCCAGAATACCCCAAGGGAAAGGAACCCAACGGCCATAAGGCCCTTGTGCTAAACACTTGATGATAACCCTTTGAAAGCGACCCGCGTCCAAGGGTTCTCCCACAGGATTACCTTGGTCAGGAAATCGCCAAAGGGTTGGATCCAAGGGCAGCATGAGGATCCCGATTCGGCCTAGTTTTCAAGCTACTCCTTCACCCCTCACTCACTCTTCGGCCTGAAGCAGTGGGGGACTGGGGGACTACACCGGCCTCAAGAATGGCAGGCAAAATGAGAAATAAAAACGCACAAAGTACACAGTTGCAACTACAAGCGCGGCCACATCGTCCATGTACCACAACGGTCCCAAGGTCCTTATAACTCCACCTCCGGCCAGACACTGCTATCGTCCCCAAAAACCTTGGGCAATATGGCGTCTTGTCGCCCAAAGGCACATGTGTCATCAGCAACGGCCAAAAGGGGTGCATAACACCCTTATCGGCCATCCAGAACAAAGGACGCTCATCGTCCTCAAAACAAAATGCAACCTCAACGGCCTTGTCGGTCCAAAAGGAAAGTTCAACCATCAACGATCAAGAATAGACACTACCTTCCTCGGCCAAGAATCCCAAAACACTCATCGTCCACAAACCAGCACACCAAAGGAATGACAGCCTTCCCCGTCCATATCAAGGGGCAGGCAACGGCCAAACTCAGAACAGGGCCACCAACGCCATGACAGAGAACGGCCAACGTGGTCCCACATCGGCCAAGAGCATCAAGCACAGAAATCTACTCTCCTTCACTTCGTCTACATCTCAGCTTAGAGAGTGGGGGACTCCTGATGGAGTATATGGGTCTAGGCCCCAGGACCCACATACTCAGAAGAACAGAAAACGCAAGCTACCAAGCAGTGCCCTCGTCGGCCAGAGGACCCCCGTCGGCCGAAGAGGGACCAACTCAGAATATGGTCCTGAAGCCAGGGAACTTGGGTGTCCCCGTCGGCCGTGCCCTCGTCGGCCGTGCCCTCGTCGGCCACGAAAGCCTCTCAGAACTAGATTTTACACTTAATCATTTCTACACATATTGTATTCGGCCCAATAGCGGTCCAGTTTTAAATGGGCCTCCCAATCCCAAGGCTTGGGAGCCTAGCCCGTATTTTTCCTATAAATACTTCCTCTGGAGGTAGTTGAAGGGGTTACAAAATCATTCTATTGAAGCATTTACTTGCACTTCTCTCTCTAGCTCTCACTTCTCTCTAGATATATACTCTATCAAAACACATAGCGGAATATAAGTGTTTAATAAGAACCCACACAAGGGTAAAACAAGAGCTCGCAGGCTCCATTAATTTATATGTCAAAAATAGTTCCATGAGCATTATTTAATTATTTAGAAATAGAACCGGAGGAAGCATGAACCACGTCTTCTCTCCATCGATCTCCCGAACAACGGGTGCAGGAAGTAAGCTCTAACTTCAACCTGAAATGGTGGTTCCCCCGAGGGATCAGTACTACAGAAAAGTACTAGCGAGGGCAAACTGTATGTAATCTAACTAACGTTTCTCTCATGGGACCCTCAACACAGGGTGATAGTATATGTATAGGCATAACTCTTAGCTACCCCTTTTCAAACATACAATATACATACACACTTATGAGTAAAATATCTGACCCGTGGGCCTAGTTGTCTTTCAAATCATTTAGGCATAACAGCCTCATTAAATTCACCTTTCCCATATCTTACCCTCGAGTGGAGTCACCCGCAGGCTAACTCACCCGATAACAAAAGATAATTATTGTGGGGGCCTTCGGGCTCCCATATCACGAACATGGTTTAATTTAAATTCCTAGACCAAGGAAAAATACCCTATCGGGAACTCGTTCCCGATCAAGCATGTTTAATCATTTAAAATCATTACCTTGAGATTCACCTACCTCAAGGACTATCTGTCCTCACAATCATAGTGTACATTCCCGGGGCTAACCCCGCCTTGAGGAGTACGCATACACCCTCATCATATGTGTAATTTGTTGGAGGTTAACACACCTCAAGGACTACACGGGTCCTTGTTACCTATATGCAATTTGATGGAGGATACCACACCTCAAGGACTGCACTTGCCCTTGTTACCTATGTGTAATTTGCTGGAGGTTAACACACCTCGAAGACTACATGGGCGCTTGTTACCTATATGCAATTTGATGGAGGTTAACACACCTCAAGGACTGCTTTTGCCCTTGTTACCTATGTGTAATATGCTGGAGGTTAACACACCTCAAGGACTACATAGGCCTTGTTACCTATATGCAATTTGATGGAGGTTAACACACCTCAAGGACTGCATTTGCCTTTGGTACCTATGTGTAATTTGCTAGAGGTTAACACATCTCAAGGACTACATGGGCCCTTGTTAACATTTGAGTATAAAGGACTCCTCCTGGTTCTACAGAGTTTTACCTAACCTTACTCAGTAGTGGGTATTCACTCGCCATGTATAATCTACCACTTACTTCGTCCGGTCGTGGTCTATAATTTCTTTACTAACGACTAGTCCAAGTCTTAGCGTTCAAACCGTATTCAAAGCCTTAGCAACCAACGTGGACGGGTCCCACCCGAACGGCCCACGTAAACTTACTCAAAAACTGCATATTGGGTGTATAATCCAATACCCGGTCGGGTATTTACCCATACCCGGTCGGTTATGGTGAGGCAGTAGCCCCTGGGACTGTTTTTAGCTAATACCTGATCGGGTATTTACCCATACCCGGTCGGGTATAGGCTTTGACTTGGCGGTCAACGCCCGTTTGACCGCCCAAACGAAGTCCGATTTACGTGAAATTTTATACACATGTACTTCTTGACTTCCTCAATCCAAAAATACCTTTTTTGGGTCCTTGGAACATCATACACAATTGATTATCACATTTTAAATTATCAAACTTACTTAACATGTTTTTCAACTATATTTTACATATAATCATGGCATAACACATACTTGATTATCTTTAATCATTCCATAAAATATATTCTTGATTACTTTAGGTAATATCATGCCTCACGCAAAAGTTATAAAGCCTAAATCCGTCTTCTCACAACTTGTAATAAGTACTTCATACTTATTAATCGTTTATATATTTTGTTCTAGTTTATTTCTCATAACTAGATCATTTTTTGTAATATGCACACTCAAGCTTTTCTAAAATCTTCACAAGAATATTACTTGAGTTACTTTGTTCATTTATCAAATGAGCCAACAAAGTCATTTATATTAATTAATCATACCATGTATTTTTACCCTAGTTTATTTCTCATAAACTAAATTTAATTTAATGACATGTATGATTAAGTACTTGAATCCTTCAAGAATACCATCTTGAATTTCCTTAGTTAATGTCCAAATAAATCATTCATGATTATCCTTCATCAAAATATTAATAATACATTTGCTCATTAATTAATCATGATATGCCACTTCCACTTCATTTATAATCAATATGGTTAATCATATGTTTAAACACTTTTAAACATTTCTATACATATTCACATGCTAGATTACTCTAGTTGTCTCATACATAGTCCATGTATGCATTTTTATACATTTGACAATAATATATTCATAATTAATCCACAAATAAATCTCTTATTCATTAACCATGTAATATTTCCATAATTCATATTCACCATGACTAATCATGCATTTTAATCCATTTCATCATTTCATTTCTCAAATCATGATTATGATTTTATTTAGGTAATCCCATGTTTGACCCAAAAGTTACAAGACACGTAGTCATCCACTCACATTGAAATGACGTTAGCGAGCTTTTATCCTCCTCGTTTGAACTCCGGTGACTTTTGGGATTTTCCGGCGAAAACTCCGGCGGCTCCGGCGACTTTTCCGGTGACTTCTAGCTTCCTTCGAAGTCTAGAATACCTTGGTTAAATTCCTAACAATGTTTCATAAACCAAAAGCGATATAAATATCAAAACCCTCCGAGAAGGTGTCTTCCGGTGAACCAGTCTTACTCTGGTCATAACTCCGTTCATAGTTAAAACTATCCTTCCAACCCCTCATTCTACACCTATAGGAGTGTAGAACAAGCTTATGGGTCTATCATATGATTTATAAAATCATATGAGATTAAATGAAGGAAGAAAAATACTAATCAATTCATTCCCTTGATTTTTTTAAAATTTTCTTCACTTTCTCCACTTTTTTTGTATTTTTTTTTCCCGGATGGTAAACCACTTAAGAGTGGGGTAAATGCCGGGGAACACTTACCAAATTTATTAATAAAATTGAAAGAAACTTGCATAGACAAAAAGTTATTAGTAAAAATTAAAGCTAAGGAAAATAAGTTATAAGAAGATTACACTAAGGAAAGCAAGCTAGGCTAAAGATTAAGCTTTCAAGCGCGATTGTGCTCTAGTTTGCATGGAGGATGCCTGAATAGCAAGTTTTTTCTTATTACGTCGAGAAATAACTGGAGTGAAAGAAACATCTTCAGTGACCTCAATTAAATCATTCTAATCAACCAAAATTGGAGAAGTCGCTGTAGAAATAGATGAAGAAACCGTGACTCAGATTTCATCTTTTTGTCTAAAATCATCTTATCCGCCTTGAATTGAGTGATAAGATCTTGGAGAGAAGGATAAGTAATAATAGTTGTCCTAGAGTTCTTACCAATTGCGTTTCTCTTGGAAAGATAAACATTTTCTACTTCTTTAACATTCTTTTTTGAGCAAGTATTTAGTTCCCTCAGATTCATGAGAAGAAGAATTCATATCAGGCAACATAGAGATTGTCGAAGGAGAAAACCCCTCAATATCAGCTTGAAAAAGAGCCCCAGAGATTGAAAAATCATTGTTGTTATCAACCCTATCAAGATCCACCAACAACTTCGGTACAAATTCTATGTGATGACACAATAACAATGGCTCAGCAAACCGCGTCTACAAATTAATGGCTCTGAATAGTCCAACCAAGAAGTCCCTAAAGCCTAATCCATATCTTCCTTCAGGAACAAAAATAGAGCCAATTCCTTTGTTAATGATCCGGATAAAACCACCATAATAATTTGAATCGAAGATGATAATAAAGTTGCCCAACTCAAATCTTGAATTCACTCAACGATCCAAAGAAATTTTTAGAATGGAATCTCTCAACCATAGTAAATTATCCTGATCAAACACAATTGAAAAAATAAAACCATATTTGATCTCGGAAATACGGACAGATTTGTCAAAGCACTTAAAAAGAAATTCTTTTCAATAGAAATGTCAAACTCAGTAGCTGAATCAAGCGCATGTTTATGAATTATGAACCTGGTTCTAATCATCTTCCTAAAGCTTGAATGAAAATTATCAAATCCCCGTAGTAATCCCTTTCGGTGTCTATCCCTGGAGTCCCTTTGCTTACCCCTAGCAAAATGTATGTTCTGATTTTTACCCTTCAAGTCCCAATTTGAGAAAGTGTTGAAGTCCTTTGCTAAAGACGAGTGGTTACCTCTGCGCATTTGAGGCTGCGACCCCCATTTGAAAACACGGTCCTCAACTAATCTACGGTTGTGGAGTTTAGAGTCATCGTGCGATTGAAGAATAGATCGTTTGCAGCAGTTGTTGGGATCAATACCCCCTCTATTTCGCTGCACCACAGTCGGTTCCCTCTCCAATCGGTGGCCGGAAAAGGTCGGTCCATCCCTCCATCTTCGTTGTCAGGCGCTACCAGCCTTACCTTGGACCGGTCTTAGGCCGGATTTTGTCTCCAAATCCCACTTGAGCGGCGGCCGACTCCATACCCTGTCCACCAATCCACCATCCCCGTATTGCACAACGATTGTATGTTTTTTTCTTCACTTTCTCCACTCTTTATTCTTCCTTGGATTTCCTTATTGATTGAGCTCAAGCTTTTAGCTATGGAGATGAATCGTAAGGGCTTCCTTTTCTTTCTTTGGGTGTTTGGTCGAGCTAATGGTAGGGGAGGGAGTAGGAATAATCCTACCTTTGTCTCATTCAACAAATAAGTGTGGAAAGAGGTCCACAACTTATTTGATTCCATAAACTTATCCTCCAAGTTGTGCATTTCCCCTTGACAATTTGATGTCTAAAAAAACTTGGGGTGACTCCACTCATGTGGGAGGTCATCCATTTATGTCCCAAAGTGTATAATCGGTCCCGAAATTTGTATTTTCCGGACTGTTTTAATCAAATTTAATTTTATTGGCTAAATAAAATATATATCATTCTTCCAATTAATATTGGCCTCTAGAGTGAATATATATTACCCAAAATTTAATTTCGTAGTTCTCGGAATTTGCTTCGGTCTATTATTTGTCAATTTACCGATACCGCTAACGGGACCTCGTTTGATCGACCGGCCAACTCTATGGCTAAACCCCGAATATAAACCATCATATAAATATTATCTAGACCAAGATGAATATAATATGTGGTCTGTAAATATCGGATGGTCCCCACCCATGTGTGGGCCCAACGTGCATTTTACTGTTCAAGGCACAGTAAAAATGAGAATGCGCTTCATCGAGAATTCACTCGTCATTTCTCATGACTTAATATGTGGTTTTTATATTTTGTGACACTTTAATAAAATGTCACTCCCTTTTTAAGTGGTCCGATATGTATGAACAGATAAAATCTCACCTCTCTGTTCCTATATCAAAATATCTTGAAGGTAGGGTCCTTCAAAAGTACCCTCCTTTAATATACTAATTTAATCATATTTTTATCATCCCATTACTTTGGGTTCTTAAAATATTTATATTTCTTCTGTTTATAAATTCGTAGTCATGCGAATTATTAATAGTCCGATAATTAAGGACTCCCCATTATTGAATAGTGGATCTAGCCCGCTCAGCCGTGTAGTTTTCGCTCTTTATATCACAGGGGTCCATCACTCATTTCTACTATCATAATAGTATCATTTATATCCATTAATATCTTATACACTAGAAATACCACAGGTGGTTCCTGCTCCGGATGTGGGTCTCGCGTGCAGTTTTTACTACACGATAAAAGTTAATTAGTAAAAATAAATTTACCGCACCTTTTATCAAGGTGCCCAGTCTAATTTACCCAACGTTATATGTAAACATTTTCAGAGTTGTTTTACACCTACTCCTCTACGTGGGTCCCACGTCTGATTAATAACCCATTATTACTTTAAGACAAGAATTTTATCTTTCTCATTTATCAAGACTACTCTTAGTCTTGATTTACCTTCTTTAACCCTGTACTTGATGAAGGAAAAAAAATCTCTGAGTAAATTTCGGGTTCGGTGTTACACAACAGGAAACACGGACTTGAAGGAGATAATCATTGCACAATGGCCAAGACGCTACAGGAGTTCTATTAAGACTAATATATAATTAATAGCATTTAATGTAGTAGTTTCCTCCTAGAAGACGGAGTCCTAAACTCTATAAATACTTCATGTAAATACCCTGTAAGAGGATCGGTGAATCGTTCTTCCGAATAATAACAATACTGCCTTACGCTGCCATATTTTGATATCTTTAGTAGATTTAGCTCTCGTAGTTAGATTAAATTCCATCATTTGGTGCTCTCGTTGAGAGCCGAATCTGCAAAGATGATGGTTGAATCCAATAGCCACAATCGTATGGGTAGCAACCAAGGCGGTGATCGTTTAAACCAGGTCGTGATCGAGGACGAAGGTTCGAGGTCACGATGGAGCGATTTTCGAAGACGCAACGACAATATCGCCTCTCAAAGCGATATGAGGAACTGACTCCAAGGAGTGGGAGGTTCCAATCGAACAACGGTGCGTCCACCGCAATTCCAGACGCTAGGTACCGGACACAATATTCCCAACGTGGATCCGGCACAAGCCCTAACAAGTTGGGCAACGTTTCAAAGAGCGCTGGAGGCCCTAACTACCATTCCAAGTTATCCTTCCTGATCCTGATGGGGGACCTCCTCCTTCCCGTCGGACTCCATCTATGGCCCGGCAATGTCACGCCCCGGACCTACCCGGACACGTCAACAACCCGCCGTACAGTACGAATAGTCAACCGCAGTCCGACTCATCCATACTATACAAGGCGTCTTGAATACCATTCACACATAGTACATCCATAAACAAACATAATGTAAAACATTTATTAAAGCAGCGGAAACAATTGATACAAGTGTTCAAGCCACACTTGGCATAATTAGGCATGCAAGCCCCCAAAGTAATTATTCAGAAAATATTATCCATGAGCATTATTCATATTGTTTTTCAAAACAAGAACGGGAGAAGCACGAACCAAGTCTTCTCCTCAGAAACTTCCCGAAGCAGCGGCTGGCGGTAGCAACCTTCAAGTTCTACCTGAAACTGTGAGGTGGCCTCCCCCGTGAAGGGGAGGTCAGTACTTGGAAGCATTTGACAAGTACAATGACAACTATACTAAGTATAATCAAAGTTTAAATCTCTGAGGCCCTCAACTAGGGCATTATTACATTATAGTTAATCCGTTCATTTAATATGAATTCATCATTATTTATCACGGTCTAGAACCCAACTCATAATCACCGTTATCTACTACGGTCTAGAGCCCAGCTCATAATCACCGTCATCTACTACGGTCTAGAGCCCCGCTCATAATCACCGTCATCTACTACGGTCTAGAGCCCAGCTCATAATCACCGTCATCTACTACGGTCTAGAGCCCAGCTCATAATCACCGTCATCTACTACGGTCTAGAGCCCAGCTCATAATCACCGTTGTCTACATCGGTCTTGAGCCCGGCTCATAATCACCGATTCCTTATAATTCAAATTCTTAGGATCTAATTCATCCATTTCTCAACTAACATTTCCAACTAACATTTCAATGCTAGTTATTTATTTATTTCAATATAATTCTTTCTTCTTGCACAATTGGCCTTAATATCAAGTATCACTTTCATACCCTCATAGCTTCTCCTCATGGCATCAAAGTATACTATCTCAAATGATATTCATGGTTAGTACAACCATCATACACACATATTCACAACATCTAAACATACACAATTTATTCATAAATTTGTGTATCATGCATACTATACTTATAATCAATAGTAGTTTCATTTAGGCATTATTAACCATTAACAACTCATACGCATCACATTTGTATTCACTTAGGGAATCCCATGAAATTAACCCAAAGATTATAGGTAACATAGTCGGTCATCCTCACCTTAATTAAGCTTAAGCGCGTTCTACGTTTCTCGATTGGACTTTGACCAACTCCGGCGAACTTTGACCAACTCCGGCGAACTTTGACCAACTCCGACGAAACTCCGGCGAAGCTCAAAAATACTTTAAATCAAGTTCCTAACAAGGTTTTATCATCACAAAACCCATATCAACACAAATAACCTATAAAAGGTTATTTTCCGGCAACCCGGTCGATTTGGCTTCTAAGTCCGTTTTTGGACTTAGAATCACTTTCCAACCCATTATTCCACACTTAAATCATGTAGAACAATACTAAAGGTCTTTCATATGATATATACCTTATATGCTAGAAGAAAAACAAATGAAAAGTTATGATAAGGTCATTACCTTAATTTTCACACTTTTTCCTAGCTTTCTCCTTCTTAAACTTTCTTCTTGGACTCCCTTTAGCTTGAGTTCGGATTTGGGCTATGGAGATGAAGTTTGCAGAGCTCTTCTCTCCTTCTTGGTGTATTTGGGTCGAAATGATGAGTGTAAGGAGGTAGGGGTGGTTCCTTCTTGTCTCATTTAGACAATGAGTGAAGGGAGGGGGCCTACTACATGTCAAAGGTGTCTCCCCCATCCTCTCAATTGTTGTTCAGCCAATTTGGCACTCATCCAGCCCTCAAGGGTTGACAATTTCGTGGGATGGCCCCCACCCATGTGGGAGGTCATCCCAATTTGTCCCAAAGTGTGCAATTTGTCCCGAAAGTTGTATTTTTTCGGACTGTTTTAAGTATATTTTATTTTATCGGGTCAAATAAAATATAACACTTGTTCCCAATTCTTAATGGACCTTAGAATCAATATGCATCCCTCAACTTTAATTTAGAAGTCTTCGAAATCCCTTTTCGGGCTGTTATCTGATAGATTGCCGATACTGATAATTTGGCCCCGTTTGACCAACCGGTCAACCCTATGCCATTTTCATGGCTCAACTAGGGTATCCACCACCATATACATATTATCTAGTCCAAGATCAATATAATATGTGGCCCCGATAATATCGGGCGGTCCCCACTCCCGATGTGGGCCCCACGTGCATTTTACTATTCACGCGAAAAATTTAATACAAATTCACAACTTCGTAAATTCACCAAATATTTCATAGGGTTCAATAAATTATTAGCTTAAATATAAATACATTTGGGGACGGTGTTACAAGTTCACCCCCCCCCCCTATTTGGGATTTCGTCCCCGAAATCCACGTGTCTAATCGAAAAGGAAAGGGTACTGCTCCCTCATTGAGACTTTAGTCTCCCAGGTTTCTTCTTCGACTCGATCACTCCTCCAAAGGACCTTTGCCATAGGAATCTCCTTGTTCCTTAGTTTCTTTACCTGTTGACGCACAATCTTCACTGGTTCCACCGCATATTGTAGGTCTTCACGTATCTCTACCGGTGGTTTCTCAAGGATATGAGACGGATCTCGCACATATTTCTTGAGCATCGATACATGAAACACGTCGTGTATCTTCTCAAGTTCTGGCGTCAATTTGATACGGTAAACCACGACCCCTATCCGTTCAAGGATTTCAAATGGGCCAATGTATCGGGGGTTAAGTTTTCCCCTCGATATAAACCTGATGATACCTTTCCAAGGAGAAACCCTTAGAAAGACCTTATCACCGACCTCAAACTCCAATGGCCTGCGTCGTTTGTCAGCATAACTCTTTTGCCGATCTTGGGCAGCCTTGAGTCTATCCTGAATGACTTTCACCTTAGCCTTGGTGATTTCGACAAGTTCAATCCCCTCGAGCTTGGCTTCGCCAACCTCATCCCAACACAACGGTGTTCTACATTTCCTCCCATACAATGCCTCGTATGGAGGCACGCCAATACT